GATACTCTGGTTATTTTACTTGCGTTTATCCTGGTATGCACAATCTTTTAACCCCAACTCTGCATCAGGCTTATGGGCAACATATTTTGCTCACGTCTTCGTAGTGGGTTCCAACTCTAGATCACAATTAGAACCCCATAAAAACAAAGGAAGAGAAAAACTCAAATTAAATGGCTAGTTAGTGCATATAATTTTAATTAGGTACTTCATATTTTGAGCATTAGTAACCGACAGTCAAATGATAACATCCTTTTTTCCTTTTTCTTATTCTTTTAAGAAAAAGTATTTAAAAAAAAAATTAATGTGAATAAAAAAAATCTTATTCAAATGAAATTTGATATTACAAAATGCTAATTATTACTAAATATGATACGTAACCTTATCTCTAGTCCACACTTATTATTTTTTAAAAAGGGCTCCGCGAAGCTGCAGTTATAACTAAGTGGGGCATGCTTATGCCATTTTCCACAAATATATTGTTTAGTTTACATTAGATGTCTGCTTTGAATGTGTCAAGTACAGCATGTTAGAATATGAGATATGTAAGCAATGTTTCCACAAATATATTGCATGCTTAAGTACATATTAGCCTTAAATATATGTTTTGGATATGTAAGCATGTTTGAATATTTTCGGTTTATATGGTTTTCGATTTTGATTCAATTTAGGTCATATTAGGTTTTGGATAAATTCAAGACAGGTCAAATTGGGTTTACCTTACCGTAAATGTCAGAGCATTTCGAATTTTAAATTACTTTAAATATTTAGGTTAAGGTAAATACCGAGTAACTTTGCTTTGAGTTATTTCAAGTTAATTAGGTTATCACAATTCAAGTCAATTCAAATTCATATCAAAGTATTTTACTATATTATTGGGTTATAGTCTGTTACCATTTCAGATGGATTGAGTGGGGTTCCTCGAATCATGTCAGATTTTGCCAGCTACAATCACTTAATTAAAAGAAAAAAGAGTTGAAGTAGAATAAGTGAACATGAGATTATTTAGAATGAAGGAAGTAGTTAGGTACAACAAAAATAAATTTAAAAACATTCAAATCCAACCTCTACAATCCCCTTAATAATGTACATAATTTTTGAATTTATCATTTAATTTTTAGGTAATTTCGTCAATTGAATTGATATCATTAAATTTGAATCCCAATATCAAAGTCAGTCAAGGACTTTATTAATGGTATAAATGTTAATATGGGAATAGGATACGAAATATGAGATTGTAATCCTTTAAAAGTTAGAAATTAAAATGCCGAAGAGGGATTTCATTTGCACAATGCTTTCAAATTCCAAAATGTATTAATAAAATTACCTTGTTTTGTAAAAAGGAATTTGGAATTGTTAAAATTCTTGAAATTAGGTAAGGGATTCTAAAGGCCAAAAATAACTTGTTTCGAATCACACTTCAAAAGTCATATATATATATATATATATATATATATATATATATATATATAAAACACTTGCTAATTGTATTTATAAGGGAACACTACAAAAGGTTAAAATTTGAAATCCAATTTGTAAGTTTCAAGTTCAAATTTTAAGATTGGTGTGTGAAACTTATAGAATAAAATAGGATTATTTTTAATTGTGTAATCTAAAATCATTTGTACTAAAAAAACGAACTTCTAATAGTCAAAATGCCATTCTAAAAAGGAATTATCCAAGCAATACAATTATAAATACCACTGATGCATTTTTAAATAATTTCATTTTAAAAATATTTAAAGTTCTTTGTCCAATTAAACAAGCTGTAAGTGTATGCAGCAAACAAAGCAAATGATTGGCATGTTAATGTCATTGTCAATTTCTTGCGTTTGACGAAAAAAAAAAAAACATGAAAGGGTGTACAGCTCAAATTTTATTTCTTTGAATTAATCGTCATCTATGTATATATATGCAAAACATAAAACTGACGAACAATGTAAAAATATTGTGATAGGCGGCCATAATAACTGATATGTACATCATATAAACCAAACAAAAAGCTAATCTTAATTAAATCATCAGGAAATTGACTTTGAAAGTTTCTGAGTGTAGATTCAATTAACACTAGATTCGGCTGAATTTTATCGGATAATATTCTAATTTTTTTATTATCTTTTTTTTAAAAAAATATGTTTGTTATCAAAAGACAAGAGTGCAAACTAAAGACCATAATGAAATGATTTCCACACTGTTCTTTTAATATTTTATTCATCTTTACTAATAATGTGTAAAAAAATTATAAAACGATAAATTTAGAAAATATAATAGAACTTTGTGATAAAAGATTTTAATTTGTTGATTCCCGTTATAGAATATTGAATTTTTATTTTTTCAAGAGTGTAATCCACAGGCGAGCTTTGTCAATACTATACGGATTTTCCAATAAAAATAAAGACATAATATTGTACATACTATTCTCCCTAAACTCAATGAAGCATCATACTTTTGTTTAAGCTGTCGATGTTCATTAGACAAGTTCCAAGTTTTTTAATCATTATATATCCTCTTGGTATAAATAATTTTCCGATATTCGTTTCCCCATCTGAATCGCGGGAATGAGTCCTGCAAAATCCCCACCATCTTCAAACAATAGTGGTACGCCTTTCAACTTTCCTCATTCAATCAATAATGGTTTTGTTTATATATGATTCTAAGTTCTGTTATGCTATTTGTTTTACAGACCGGCCGGTCTACTTAGAATGGCGTGTGTCCAAATATATCGGTAAGTTCCCTATCATGCTGAGTTCGTTTTTGGCAAATCAAATTCAGCCTTTAAGACATTATATAGTTCTTACTGTTTTGTTATGCTTTAGGGCTCTTTATTGCATCAAACATTTATATCAGTTCTTTGGACACAGGAATTGGCTTTGTAAGTGGAGTGATCTTTGCATTTGCCATCATTTTTGGCTACAAAACTATAATACTGGTGTCCCAAACGATTAACAGGAAAATGAAGAAAGATTCAAACGTTGAGGCTTATATCAAAAAATATGGATCACTCGCTC